TAGACAAAAAACACTCCTTGATCAACTAGAAGCTGAAAGATTACGTTACCCACCCGCAAAGTCACCAGAGTCAGTCCTATAAGTCATCGGAGCATGTTACCTCACTATAAAGAAAAGGGGGATTAATGAGGAAGGAGCACCATGAATCTCATTTTTCTAACGATATGGTTGCAGATACGACATAGTGAAGGAGGAATTGCAGGTGAAGGTTCTGACGCCTTTGGTGGAGGTGAAAGAGGTCGGAGGCAGCGTCTCCGTTTGTTAGTAATAGAGGTGAAGGAGGGTAGGTAAGTGACATTGCCAGAACAACAACACCACAAATGGAGGTTATGGTGGTCGATAGTGGAGATCTACACTCTGATGAGTGGATAACCGTGAAACAAAAAACACCGTCTTGATCTTGTCCTCTCTTATCTTTTCACCGTTCGACTATCGTCACTTGTATGTCGCCATCACCACCTGTGCACCGCCATCGCAACACCTTCTAAAGTTAACGGATCTATACTCCGTTCATAAATCTACACCCCAGAAAAAAAACTCATATTTTTTCTCCATTCGCAGATCTACACTCTGATAAAAAATCTTTTGTCAATACGTTGTACTCCACCTGAGGGTGGTTGTCGGAGGTGAAAGGGGACGCCGATGGTGACAAGCTGTGGCGAATCTAGAATATAAAAGCATGTGGTTCCTAATTAATTGAAGCAAGAAATGCTAAAGAGTCAACAATACATGTGGTGGATCGGGTCGGATCGACCCAGTAAAAAATCGGCCGGTTTGCAAAAACTCATGTTCAACCGGACCAATCGAACACCTTAAAAACTCGGTCTACTTGACCCGTAAAACCGAATTTTTGCAAAAAAAAAACATTTACTTTACACGACTAAATCTATTTTCTTTTTTAAAAGTCCACTTGCAACTATAATTTCTTACGACAAACAATGTGGATGAATTGTTTCTTTTCAAGTTTCATTATAACCATCCATCATTCATTTTATAACATCAGAATGTGGATGAATTGTTTCTTTTCAAGTTTCATTATAACCATCCATCATTCATTTTATAATTACATCTCTTTCTCTTTATCTTGTATGTGGGATAGTTTTTTATAAATATTAACCATTTGCTTTATAATTTAAGCATAAACCCTCCACTATTTCATTTATTTATTTGTTTTTATTTTGTCAAATAATATAAGATATGTCCTAATTTTTTCGTGGTATATCCTAATTTGTTTCCCACATAAATAATATATAATTCTAAAATATTAGGTGGGTCCTAGGACCCACCTTGATCATATGTAGCTACACCCCTTCTGACAACTGGTAGATGTTATAACTCAGAAAAGAGGACATGTGAGAGAAATAAAGATGTCAATTATATAAGAGGCGTATGGAGGTGGCTAGTGGTAAGAGGTAGTTGGTGGTCAGGATGACTGGTGGCTGAAAGTGGTTGGTGACCGGAGCTAGTCGGTGGCGAGAGGTTGCTAGAACCAATTTTAGGGACATATCATTTTCTAAAAATTATAATTAATAAAAAAAGATAAATTATAAACAATTGAAAAATAAAAAGAAAATGATAATATAGTCATTTTATGTCACGAAACGAGAGAGACTGTCCAAATAATTTTTGAAAATAAAAACTAAATATTACATCCGTCTCATGTTTATTGTTCGTTTTTGACTTTTAAAATTTTTATTCTTCAACTTTGATCTTAAATATTTTTATTTGTGTTATATTATTTGATGAAACTTATAATAGTGAAAAGACATTTAAAACACAATCTATTCATATATTTTATATCAAGTATTATATATAAAAAATAAAAGTATCTAATGTCAAAGTTAAAGAATAAAATAGACAATAAATATGAAAGCAGGAAATATGTTTTTTTGATACTTTGGCTGTAATTTACTCAAAAACATAATATCGGATAATAAACCAAATAAGTTGGTTTCGATTAAATACAATCAACTCAATTTATGGGTTCACACCTTATACGAGTTCTTGTGATTTCTCAAGTCAAATATTGCACGTGTGGAATTATTATAAATTAAAAAACGTTATGTACTAGATATCCATTGGTCGGTCCCTTCCATGGACACCATTATTAAACCTAATGTTCACGTGGGTATATTTTAAAAGCTACTAGATTTTTTCCTATAAATTAATAAAATAAATAATATTTTTCTTAATTTATTTAGATTTATAGATTTGAAAGGTTAATTTTATATGTATATTTTTAAATTGCTTTGTGTATAGCAGCATCCATTTGAAATTGATTTACAAATGTTCCGTCTTTTATTGATATTTAAATGAAAATATTATTCTTTAAAGTTATGTATTGAACCAGGACATATTTTAATTTGGTCCAGTTTAAAGATAACTTTACGATCTCAAGAAAATAATCTTTATACCAATTGCAACATAAATTCTCGAATATTTTGGAATACTTTACATGCCAAAACTAGATGTATAATAGATCATCAACATATCATTAAATAATAAAATCATTAAATTTAAACTAAAAGTCAATTGGAATATAATGAGACTTCATGTCATTTATTAAATTAACTTTAAATTAAAAGGTAATTGGGATTGAATGGGTAATGACATAAAAACCCTAACATTTACATATTTTTAATGGTTTTGTTTTAACATCAATATTTTACTATTAAAGCTTAAAATTTAAGAGACTTTTTTAAATTTCACATTTAGGTTTCCAAGCTCTATTTGATTACTTGTCTACATGTCTATCATGTCATGTTGGTTGTCGAGTGAACTTTTGTTACTGATGTCACAATCTCATAATACCCATTTGATTAGATTGTCTTTTGACTATTTTCGGGGCTTGATAAAAGATCATACTCATACATGGTTATTTTTCTTCATGCCCTCTCTTCCCCATACCCATCTCTTTATCATTCTCCTCTATTGGCTAAGATCGATTAAGAGAAAGCACACAAACTATTTCAGAGAAAATCAGAAAAATGTCGAATCATCATGAGATCGATATAAAGTGTGACTAACTTGGGACTTCATAAAAAAAAAAACTGATTTCGGCTAAGATCGATTCAAAGAAAGAATGATAAACAAATTTAGAAAAGTCTATGAAAACAAATGATGGCGTCATTGCTATTGTAGATGACACAACTAAATGCTACCTATCAAATTTCCAATCATGCCCCTTCTCTTTTTAGAATTGAAGGCATTGCCTAATTGGTATCCTACTCATCAAAATCCAACCACATATGCAAGAGCAATGAAATGGTAACATGAAAAATCTTACAATTGTTATAAATTAAAAAAACTCTGCAAATTCAAGACATTTCCAGATGTTTTGGTAAAACTATTGAAAACTTGTAACTTTGGGGCTTTTATAGGAATGCCAACGGGATCAGACGGGGACGAAAATAGTCTTCCCTTCCCCTTCCCTCAATTTGTCTGTTTCCTCCGACCGTGAATTTTCCTGTTTCTCCGCCCTCAAATTTCAAGACCACCCTATCCCGCCTTTGTTTCTGTTTCCGTCAAATCTCCCGTTTAACCTTATTTATCTTATTTTTTGCCACTCGTTTATTTCGCTTAACCTTACATATTTCATATTACGGTAGTTATTCACAAAACATATATTATACAATGTCTACTTTAAGTTTAATATTTATTTTGTAAATAAAATAGTTAAATATAAGGTAATTATTTTGGAGCATCCATAGTATTCGAGATGGAACTCTCCACCCCCGAAAACTAAATGGAGATAAAATCCACTAATACTCCCGTTTCGAACCTGAAAACATTGTAAAATTATCCCATACAGAAATAGGGTCTTATAGAGGTTTTGACATTCCAGGGGCGAACACACTTAATATCCCGAGTGGTACAAGCAACTACTTGATTTGTCCTATAAGTGTATAAATTTATAAATCCGTCACAAATTCGTTGGAAAATTTTCACAAATCTATTGATAATCCCTCAAGACTCCATTAAAAATCTATCACAAAGTCCAATAATATAAATTAGGGTTAATGACCTACAAAGGTAACGAACTTTGGTCTTTGTCCACATTTAGGTAACCATGTTTTTTTCGTTCACATTTGACCATTGAACTTGTTTGACCTGTTCAAAATAGGGTAATATGACCGGTAATTAGCGGTAACATTACCCTATTATGAACAGGTCAAACAAGTTTACTGGTCAAATGTGTACGAAAAAAACATGGTTACCTAAATATGGACAAAAACCAAAGTTCCTTACCTATTTTGGTAATATTGGGTTCTTTATGTTAAGTGCAAGTAGTCATAAGATCCATTGATGTGAAATGAAATTGAGTTGTCCGGTCTTGTGTATGAGGAGATGGTTAAGTCTTGGGTCAACCCAGTTTAGGCCCAACTAGTTAGGGGTTAGGTTGTATACGCTTAAGGGGTTAGCTGTATGTGTTTTAAAGACCGAGCAACATAGCGTAGCCTATGACTAGTCGAGACTAAACTAGGTTAGACCAAGCCTAACCTAATTGTTCATTGACTGTTGGAGCCTGATCACAGGGCTCACAGTTCCTAAGACGGTTCTTGTCCAGTATTATCAAAACGGGTAAGAAACTTTGGTTTTTGTCCGTATTTAGGTAACCATGTTTTTTTCGTACACATTTGACCAATAAACATGTTTGACCTGTTCATAATAGGGTAATATTACCGTAATTACCGGTCATATTACCTTATTTTGAACATGTCAAACAAGTTCCATGGTCAAATGTGAACGAAAAAAAAACATGATTACCTAAATATTGACAAAGACAAAAGTTCGTTACCTTTTTAGGTCATTAACCCAAAAATTAGTGTAAATCGGCCGGTAAATGTGCCAGTGATCCTAGGTTTTTATGTAATTATCCTCGGCTGTTCTAAAATGATGTAATTGTCCCGGGACTGAAAATGACAACAGTGTTTCATCGTCGATTAAATTAACGGTCTAGATCCTCTTCGCAATTCCCTATAAATACTTTTACGTATCATCTCTTTCCTCATCATAAAATCTCCATAGCCATCGAGCTTAATCGCCATACCTCTTTTAGAAATTCACGAATCACGACTACGTTTCTTAAAGATGCTACTCAGGAGCTCATCAAATCCCGCACTCAATTCATGGTTTCAACAACAAAATCCCAAAGGATTATCATCACCGGAACCAGATTTCATTCATCGAAACATGAGATCACCGGCAATTTCAATGCATTCGTCATGTTCACCGAATGATGCGTCCAAGAAGCTCTCCAGAGCCTCATCGGAGAGTGACTTGATCGGTTTTTCTCAGCCAAAACGTAGGAATTCTTTGAGTAGTGCAAACATCTTGCTTTCTTCGGTGGCGGTGGAAGAGGACGTCGAAGCGGAAGAGAGCGAAAACAGAGGTTTGCTTTTTTCGAGTTCTGGTTTGGATTGTAATGAGGGGTGTGGAGTACGTCTTATGGAGGATGGCACCGGTGGAAGCGATGGTGGTGGAAAGATCTGTGGAGGCGGTGGTGATAACGGTGATTATAATGGAAGTGATGGTACAGATGTGTATTATCAGAATATGATCGAAGCAAACCCTGGCAATTCATTGATTCTCGGCAATTACGCGAAATACCTGAAAGAGGTATATACAATATTCATCATTCACAAATTTCAATTCTTTATTTTACCAGATCAAGTTTCATATCGTTGTTAGCTTCCGATCTATTGGCCAATTTTGATCTGATTGATTATTTCAACAGGTGCGATGTGATTTCTCGAGGGCTGAGGAGTATTGCAGCCGAGCAATCCTGGCAAACCCTAGCGATGGAAATACTTTATCAATGTATGCCGATTTGATTTGGGAGACACAAAAGGATGCATCTCGTGCACAGAGTTACTTCGATCAAGCAGTCAAAGCTTCTCCAGATGACTGGTAAGATAGTTAGATAAACATCTTCACCATCTCTGAAAGATTTAACCTTCTTTCATATACCGAATTTTGATTGCTTGACTGAAAATTCTTCGTTTGATGTTGACACAGTTATGTAATGGCATCTTATGCTCGGTTTCTTTGGGATGCTGATGAAGAAGACGAAGAAGAAGTTTCCAATATGAATCTATCATCAACAAGTTTCTTCCATGAATCTTCACAACAATTTCCAATTGCTGCAGCATAATAAAGATGAATCCAGAACCATAACTTTAATAACAGAGATCTATCTTACTTAGTAACAGTCTGACCCATCTTCCTTTCGTTGTTTCTTGTACTTTTTTGAATCAATTAAGTCATATTGGTGTTCAAGATGAGATCATTCTCTCACTATGTTATAGGAGTAGTTATTATGTCAAAGATTCAGTCTTTTTTGTAATTATCATGTGATAAAGTAATAATATGATGCAGTTTTGTTATTACTTCTATACATGTCTTTCTTGATTTGTTACGGTTATCACCCTTTTATAACACTCAATAAACTAGTCACAGTTTTGCATAGATAATTGAACCATTGAAGATATTGCTACTTATTTAGCTTTTGGATTGTTATGTGGATAAAAAATCTAGTAAACATTTAGCTGCTGGATTCTTATGTGACTAAAATCTTTAAAATATGTGGTGTATGACATTATGGGGGACCTTGCAACTAATATTCTAATTATATGTACTTGTAGCAAAGTTTTTGTCCTTGAATATACTTATAAAATATCATGAAAATGATTTCAGTAATAATCTATTAAAAGTGTCACAAAAGTTAATTTAATGGTAAATTGTGTACAAAAATGTTGGTTTAATGGTGTTTCTTAAACAACAAACGTGCGTATAATGTTGTGTCTCGAGCAGGTAAATTGGCTAAATATGTATAAAAATAATAATTGATTATCGTACAAAATCATTTTCTCTAAATTATATATTGAGTTGTCTACAAATTGTGTAATCAAGATACTTCCAGAGAGAATACAGTTGTTTTAAGGCAAAGTTTGAGGACTGTGACATGTTAATAAAGGTTTTGTGCTATTATTTTCATGAAGATTAAGACATGTTTTGTTTAAAGACACAACAATGACCCTTAAATTTATCACTTTAGGTTTGATGTAGTGACATTAGAATTTATTAGCTGGCCACCTGCTGTGAGCTAGATAGAATGGGTAGGGCTCACATGATAAAATTATAGTATTAAGTTTCTGTAGAGATAAAATGGCTAAATGAGTGATGATGCTTCTCTGGATAAAAATTTGTGTACGTAAATATTGTTCTTTTTTTTTTTTAACCGAAAAACCTGTTAAACAAGATTATATGACCATTTACCTTTACACTCCAGCAAACAAATTCATATCAAATTAATATAAATTCAAATAAGCACAATAAAAAGTATCATAATTATCAAATGAACATCAACTCACATAACAATCGATGCGAAAAACATAATAAAAAAACTCCATATCAGATTAACATAATGATCACCATGCAAAACATCCATACAATTAATGTGAAAGTCAAGTTAGTGTTGAAATAATCAAATAAATATATCAAAAATCCATAAAAATGACCCTTAAATATATCACTTTTGTCTATCATTAGAATTTACCAGTTAACGCACTTGTTGACATAGAATTGGTAGGTTGACATGATTAAACGAATTAAGCATCCCTAAAAGAAGAATTTGTTAAAGGAAAATTTCAATTTATCGTCTCTATTCAAGCTCATGATACTACTAATTTTTGGAAATATGTGTAACATAGTTGATGCTTGCGGATTACATTAAGTTTTATAGGCAAACTGTTTCTTTATAATCTTCATTCAAGCCTAAGGCCTTTTTTGTAAATACCATATATTAACATGTAAAAGGAACTATGACCTAGATATGATTACTCCACTATAACTGTACACTTCAATGATTTTAACACTTTTTCTATCTCGATTAAGTAAAAAACAACCCCCCCCCCCCCACACACACATATATATATATATATATATATATATATATATATATATATATATATATATATATATATATATATATATATATATATATATATAAAAGGACTTAACATAATGAAAGATGCATTACATTTAGGACCTAGGAGACTAACAAGCCTAAAAAGAATATTATGGACTATAATCTTCATCATTTCTCCACAGGTGTACAACTTTATATTTTATAGAGTTGTACAATACAACATTTAAAAATACAAATTATTATGTATGAAGAAAAATTATTATATACGAATTACTTCTTTTAAATGATCCAAAACCATCCAAGAACCGAACCACAAACCAACCCGATCGCTAAAAACAAAGCCATAACAATTCCTGCCATTTCTGCTTCCGAAGGTGGCACCAATTTAGGAGCAAGAATCATGATGACACTTGTCAAATACCCATTGGTCAACCCCAACATAAAAGTCAAAAACACCACAAAAACCTCGCTTCTAAACCATTTAGGTCCATGAAGACACAATGTAAAAACAGGATAAAAAACCAACCTTCCTACACAACCCCACACAGCCTTCCCAATACCCTTTACCATAAAAAAACCACTAAAAGATTTCCCAAAGAAATCCGCAATGTTATATGTTGTGATTAATATTATCGGGTACCAATCTTTAAGGACTTTCGAATTTATATTTTCTGATAAAAATCCCGGGAAAATTGATAGGGTTACGGTGTATATAATGAATATTCCCAATGCTGGCCATTGAATCGTTCTAGCTGTGTCTTGTAATTTAGTCTTTGAAGTTGGAGTGTGATGTTCGAGTTGTTTGTAATGTTGTTCCATGCATGGCAACTTGTACAATAGGGAACAACAAACGATGCATACCATTAAAAAAATGATGGTGGTGACTATGAAATAAAAGTGGGCACTTGTTCTTAAGCCTTGTGGATCATGTGGGAGTGATGCCTTTGTGATAATTCGCAAGAGAGAAACCAGTATCCCTGTGACATTGTAGATTGGAGTAGTGAGGGGAAAATGCATATTGAGGCCCCTGAACTATTGGAGAAGTTGCATTTAGTTCCCCAAGTAAATTTGGTGGTGAATACTCAAAAAATATGGGCTTCAAGTACTAAATTTAAAACTTTTGTGGTCTAAAAAATGTGAACACCAAGTACTAAATTTGAAACTTTTTGTGGTCAAAACTTAAAAATGTGAACTTCAAGTACTAGATTTGAAACTTTTGGTAGTTAAGACTAAAAAATGTGAAATCGATACTCAAAAATGTTAAATTCAAGTACTAAATTTGAAACTTTTGGTGGTCGAAACTAAAAAATATTAACTCCAAGTACTAAATTTGAAACTTTTGCTGGTCAAGACTACAAAAATATGAATGTCAGGTACTAAATTTGTAACTTTTGGTGGCCGATACTAAAAATGTGAAGTTTAAGTACTAAATTTGAAACTTTTGGTGGCCGACACTAAAAACTGTGAACTTCAAGCATTAAATTTAAAACTTTTGGTGGTTGACACTAAATAAATTAAACTTCAAGGACTACATATAAAACTTCTGGTAAATTGAAACTTAAAATAAATTAAACTCCAAGGATTAAATATAAATATTTTGGTGGTCAGGTCTTAAAAAAGGTTAACTTGAAATAAATTAAACTCCAAGGATTAAAAAAGTTAACTTTAAGCACACTAAATTTGAAGCTTTGGATGGTCAAGACTAAATAGATTAAACTTCAAGGATTAAATATAAAACTTGGATATATTAAACTTCGAGGACTAAATTTAAAATTTTTGGTGGTCATCTTTTAAAAAAGTTAACTTTAAGAACTAAATTTGAAACTTTTGGTGCTCTAGACTTTAGAAAAGTTAACTTCAAAGACAAAAAAACGTAAACTTCAAGTATTTATCTAAAAAGTCAAAATGCGGAAAAGTAAACTTCAACTACTAAATTAAGAACTTTAGGTGGGTCAAGACTTGAAAAAGTAAACTTCAAGTACTGAATTTTCGATTCTCGTTGGTCAGGTTATAAAAAAAATAATACTCGTATTCAATAACTAAATCTAAAACTTTTGGCAGTTATGAAATGAAAAATTAAATTTCAAGTACTAAATTTAAAACTTTTGTTGGTGATAACCTTAATTACTAAATTTTATATGTCTGGTGGTAGAGAGTTAAAACATTAAACTTCAAGTTCTTAATTTGAAATTCTGGTGGTCAATAAAAAAGCACTAATTTAAAAGTTTTGGTGGTCGAGACTCAAAAAAGTAAACTCCAAGTACTAAATTTAAAACTTTTGGTGTTCAAGTCTTAACAACTTCAAGTACTGAACTTAAAACTTTTGGTGGTAAGGACAAAAAGTCAACTTAGAGTACTAAATTTGAAAGCTTTGTTAGTCAACAATGAAAAAAATAAACTTCAAGTACTAAATTAGAAACTTTTGTTGGTCAAGACTTTAAACTTGAATTACTAAATTGAAAACCATTGGTGGTTAAGTAAACTTGAAGTACTAAATTTGAAACTTTTCATGTTCAATACTTAGAAACGTAAACTTCCAAAGTTCCAAGTAACAAATTTAAAAGTTTGGTGGTCAAATCTTATAAAAGCAAACTTTAAGTACTAAATTTAAAACTTTTGGTGGTCAATATATACACACTAAAACCTAGAACAGAATAGATCAATGCATGAGTTTATACCATACAAATATTTATATACAACTTTAATTTAGTTTGAATGTTGGTGAAAAAGACGCATGAACTTCGTATTAGTTTTCATTTTGTGAGTTTTTAGCTTTAGGGTTAAATGTAAGAAATAGCAAAATATATTTATTTATTTGTTTATGGATACCATAGCATCTTATTATTATTATTTCCTCCACTGTATTTTGATTTTTTTCTTAATTATAACAATATTATCCAAATATAAAACAATTAATACAATTATAATCTAGTATTTTATAAGTGTAGTGTCCTAGTAAAAAAGATGAAAGTACAGTGATATAATTGAATACATATTTTAAAGCATAAAAAAAAATCATAAGTACGTCTTAATAAAATAAATAGAAGTAAGATACAATAATAATCAAACAAATTAAACTACATTGATATTTCTTGCATTTAGCTTAAATTTAAAATCCATTAAACGAAATAACGATCATTTATCATTTTTGTGATTAATTTAAGTGAGTTTGACATGGATTCTGTTTATATACGTACTTTGATTTTTTCACTTTATATTTTTATAATTCCAATGACTAACTGAAACTTTTTAAATAGTTCGGTACCCTCCACCATGACCCTCCTAGTAACCACTGAAAACTATGAATAAAAATATGTTTTTCCCAAATAATCAAAATGTGTGACAACAATTCATCATTTCATGGCTTCTAAAGTCGGGCTATATTATCCAAACACCATTATGTATAACAAAACATACCTGATGAAGCAGTTCCAGCAAAAACGGCTTGCATGTATTTTTTTGGCAACTTCCCCGCGGATCCTATTAAACTCCCTCCTATTAACCCATCGGCTAAACCACACATCACCACACACACAACCACTATGTAATAAGTTACAATTGACTTTTCCACGCTACACCAACCCCAATCAATTATCAGAGTTACTATGAGTGAAAAAACAAACATGGTAAATCCCAAATTTACCCTCGCTCTAAACGTAACTTTTTTACTCAATTCACTCCAAATTATCATCACAACAAGAACTAGTAACGAAGAACTCATATACGCAACCGAAAACACCTTCCCGATGTGTTTTTTTGGGTAAAGATAAGTGAAATAATCAACGGCAGTGATTAAAGCGTTCCATGGAAGCAAATTACCTGCACCAAGTAAGAAATGAATCATGTAAGCTAATTTGTATGTATCTTTTCTTTCGGTTTGATCTAAATCACTCTTGAGTGTCTCCATTTTTCTTTATAGAATTTTGCACTCTTTTTGTTTAGTTTGATCTAAAGCATTATATGGGTGGGTTAAAGACCCCTTTGGGAAGATTTTTCAATGATTAAAGGGGGATAAAGACAAACCCATGAGAAGAAAGGTAAAAGAAAGAAGTCTTGGACATTTTGACGATGGGTTAAAATCGTAAAATGAAAGATTCTCTGGAATTTGTTTGCATTCTTTTATGGAGGTCGATCCGAATTGTCATTTGTTATTAATTTCTTTTACAAATTTATGCAATCAAGTTTGTAAAATATTGCATAATATAATAACATACTGATAGCAAAAAAACATGCTTATAACAAATATAATTGATTTATCGTATTACTACGTAATACCAATTACATATGAAATTTATTTCATTTCAAAACTACGTTATAAGTGATGTGTCAGGTGATGAACAAAAATGGATGGTTGGAAATGAAAGGAATGGCTCACTTTGCTCATTGAAGTGACATATGTTTAACTTTCGGTGAGACCTAAGCTTCATAGACCATTAGCTTCATATAAAACTTATTCTTTCACCTCCCTTCATTTTAGCCTTCTTTTTCTCACATTTGGCTCCTTTATTTTCGTGGGTTTGAACAGTTATGTGGATGCATATCTTTTCATTCAGTCGTTACAAATGATTATTAATGCATCAACTGATTTGATAGTAGAAAACAAAGTAGTGAAGTCTTGTGATTGATCCCAATATAATTACTTTGTATGTTTGACTTCAAGGAAGACTATTAAGGCTTGTACGAGTACCCATCCCGCACACTGCATGGTGGTGATCTGTCACTGCAGGTATGCGGTGAACACCACACTGACCAATGTGAGGTGGTGCGGTGTCCACCCACGTGCGACGTAGCTTCACCGCATCAATTCTTCTCTCATTTCAACGGATGCATTTCCAACGGCTCTATTAATGGTCGTTTTTCATTTTTTTAATTAACCACTATAAATATCATACTACCTAATAATTTATTTCACACAACTATTATACTTTCTACTACCCATTTCATAGAAAAAATCACACTTTCTATTACCAAAATGAATCTAAACAACCATCCCACCAAAGTTACCATAAAAATTACACTTCGCTTCGAATTATTTCGCTGTTAATCAGTTGGTTTACCAACCACAACTTGATGCCTCTATTTTTTCATCCCACCCCCACCCCAACCTTAACAATTTCACTATCAACAAATACCACAATATTACTCTACGACACCCGTTAGCCCAACCTATTTTCATAATTTTTCCGTTCTCCCCAAATACATTTCGAGAAGCCAAACCCCGACCGAGCTGAAAATCGAATTTGTTCGTGAAACGCAACCCAAACCAAACTTGAACCCGTACTATCCGACCTCAAAGGAAAAGAAAAAGGAAAAGCTCCGACTGAAAAAGGAAAGGCAGTCCCTCGACAATGGACACCGAAAGAAGAGAAATTATTAGCAGAATTATGGATCGACATTCTGAGGACCCCGTGTACGGAAATGCGAAGTGCAAGAGCATTTTTGGCGACACATTACAAGATGGTTACAAAGTTTAACGGGGTATACAACAACTTGATGAGCCAAAAAAAGCGGGAAAAGCGATATGGACGTTTTCGAGACGACACTTGAAATTTTTAAAATCGAAAATAATTGGAAGTCATTCAAATTTATTAAGGTTTGGAAGTTTTTATCTGGTCGCCAAAAATAGAAAGACTTTATTGAAGAAGAAGAAGAAGAAGGTGTTAGGTTAAAACAACACTTCGATAACGATAAAGGATCTCACCAGGCTAATAAATGCAAAATCATAAGAACAAGATACAATCAATTTATGTGGTTCACACGATCAGATGATCAACTATGTCCATGGCAAACATGAGAAAGATTTATTTTTTAATGTCGTAAAAGGCTTTTTCGTACAGTACATTAGGGTTACAATAAATGAGACTATTTATACAGTGGTTGACCTAATAATAATGGGTTAAAACATCATGGGCTGAAGGCAATGTTGAAAAATAGGCCCTACTAATCGTTTGAGTCAAAGCTTGCTCTCCATGAAAACCTGCACTGCTGCTCATGCATTTGCTGACCGCTTAAGCAATGTTGGCCGCTTACTGCCATAAGCAACCCTACTTATTTGGATTGCCATAAGCAACAATGCTCCTGCAAATTTCCATAAGCAAACCTGCTGATGTGGATTGCTATAAACAGCCTTCTCCTGCGGATTGCCATAAGCATCCCTGCTTATTCAGACTGCCATAAGCAACTCAGCCTCCACACTCAACAATCTCCCACTTGGAGGCTGATAAACAATCTGTTGCCATCCAAAACAAGAACATTGTAACCTTATATCTCTCTATCTCTCTCTCTCATCTATCTTTCTTTCGTTCGCGCCTTCACTTCAAGTACCTGGAAAACCAGTTGAAGCCATGCACAACTTTAACTTCTCTATAGTCACAACCTTGGTAACTATATTTGTTGGATTCTTCGTACCAAGGATTTTATTTAGATTCAAAGGTCCCATCACTTATAAATTCACGAATAAAGTGATACCTCATATGAGTGTTTCGTCCTACTGTGAAACACTTGATTCTTTTCCAAATGAGCTGCACCATGGTTGTCACAATGTAGTACACAATCTTCCTAGTGCGTACGAAGTTATGATATAAGCTTCTTGCTTGCTTCTGTAATAGCAATATACTCTGCTTCTGTGGTTGAAAGAGAAACATTCTTTTGTAACCCGGACATCCAACTAATTGTAGTACCTCTGATTGTGAAAACATACCCAATTGTGCTTTTTCCTAAATCCATACAGCTAGTGGGATCAAGTCCACCAAGCAAATTACACCATTTGCTTGCAAATAAAACGTAAAATAATGGTAAAAAGAGGTATCGATCCTCAGGGAAATAGTTGTATTCAATCACCAATGTAATCCAATAAAACAACTTTAATAAAACTAACTAACTAGAATTAAACTAAAGTGAGGGGGGGTTGTGATTGTTTGAAAACTAAAAGACTTGAATAACTAAAAATCTTGCAATTAAGCAAGATGGTGAGATGCTCAAATATTGGAGATAATTAGTCAACTAAGACAATTCAACACTATGGACATTTGTGTGCTTATCACTAGGATTCAATATGTAAGCTTATCATTCATCCGAAACTGGTTATAGTAATCATGAAGCATGATATGCCAATATTCCTCAAAGGTAGTATGGAGGTTGGGGAAACCCACAACACACCTTCTTAATCAAAATCAATGATTCAATTAAACCCAACAAAATTTATTAGACTTAAGAATGAAGGAATCACCAATTCTTGGAGGATGTCAATGCTTACACATCTATAAAAGAGTCATAATCCATAAGCTAGAGATGATTTCTACCATCATAAAGCCCTTGTTTTAAAAAAAAATTCAATGATTCAATGCTAAATCAAAGAAATAAACCAACAATTGCTCATTCAAATACCAAGCTCATGATCAAACTATTAAACTAGCATAAGAACTATGTAACATTCCGTTTAAAAACGAAATAAATAAAATAAAATAAGTAAATAAATAAATAAGGATAATAATAAATAAAATAAATAAAAATAAATGAATAAATAATAAGCCCTAAAACCCCGAGAATTTGGGGTCTATATTGTAACATTAGGACTTAAAATGTAAAGAAAATCATGAGCAAGGGCTGTTTGGTAATTATTGGATTTAAATTGAATAGTTTTTTGGAAGCAGGGGCTAAAGAGTAAAATATGGATTTGGATTGAAAAAAATAGAGGGGGAGGGGCCGGAAGTGTCAAAAACGGTATGGAGTTTGAATTGGTACGAATTAAAACTGTCACCCTACTCTTGACTTTCATGTAAACCCTAACCCTACTACACTCTTATAGCCGCCACCCTTATACCCCCTCACCTCCAACCTCCGCCGCCACCTCCGTTCCTTGCTGCATCGAACCGCCGAGCATCGCGGCTGCCTTCCCTTCCGACGGGAGCGAGTTTGACGACCGTGAGTGCTGAGTGCGTCCGCTGCCACCCTTCCTCCACCTTCTTCTTCTTCTTCCTTTCTGTCGCCATCCGCAACCACAACACAGCAGTTGCCGGTGTTACTCCGGTTGTCCCTTGTTTTCATCTTGTTACGCAACAGCTAGCCGACGTCGCCACTCGTACAACCTCCTTTCAGCTGCTCCGGTCGACGTTCACCACCCTGAGGAGAGACCCGCTCTGTGCGCATTTGGGTGTGTGTTCGCGTGTAGGTGTGTTTTTCAACGGTTGTTGACATGTGTGTGTGTGTTTGTTTGTTGGCCAAAAACCGAAGAGGAACCACCATAGCGGCCAACCATGGTGGCTGCCACCTGCTGCCTTCTTCTTCCGCCACTAGCCATCGTGAGAGGTGTCTGTGTGTATGTGATATGGTGTTTGTGTCTGTGCGTGTGTGTTTTAATGGTATGGGGCTGCATGAGCGTTTCTTGGCCAGAGAACCGAAGAAAAACCCACCACCACCACCGTGAGGTGGTGGCTGCCACCTCATGCCGCCATTCTACCACCACCAGCCGCCACCTTGGGTGGCTGTGTGATTATGTGTGTGTGTTTGGACCTAAAAACTTATAACTCCTGCCATAACAATTGTGGTTACCGCCTCCTGTCACCATGGACCGCCGCGACCACCACTGCCCGAGGTGGCAGTGGGTGGTGCTCGATTTATTAAATATATATATTTATTAAATTAACTAATCATCTAACTTTAGGAGTTGGAAACCCTAATTGGGGTTTAGAAAACCCTAATGTCAAGAAACCCTAGTCTTGGAGTTGGTGGGGATCCGCATTAAAACTTTTAATTAAACTTAAAATAATACTTAATAATTCTCTACAATTAACTTAATGAAATAATTGACTTAATGGATTAAGTCCTTAAGGGGTTAGCGTGGTGTGACATCTCCATTTTCACGGCCAGAAAAGACCGATTTTGTTTATGCTTTATAAAAATCAGAGT